CAAATATTACTCTTTGTAAGTTATTATCCTCCTTACCATTTTTGGCTTCCCTTCATAGAGAGTTACACGCTTCTGCCATTCCAATACATTGTGTGGGTTCTGGCGAAGCATAACAGAATTCAAGAGGAGAGGCCGCCGTTGCATAAGGTCCTCATATCGTGCCAGGCTGTTTGGTTGTATTAAATTAGTTAATCAGTTAATGCATTAGTCACTTTATCTCAGACTGAATATTAACTCAGATATAATAATCACCATATACGATTGGTACTTGAGATAAACTGACAAGAAAGCCCTACCGTAATTCCAACTCTGTTTCTTCTTCTATATCCACTTCAACGCCAACTTCTTCCATTCGTTTCTTTAGTGTTAATTCCTCAAACTGAGCATAAGCATCAAACACTTGTGTAAAATCTCTTACTGTCATGACACTTCGTAAACCTTCTTCATAGACATCTCTTGCCTAGAAAGACAAGACATTTGGAAAAGAATTAGTAAAAGTCATATACTTCAGCAACACATAGAAGTTTTGTAAGTATTGTTGTTTTTATTTTTATCATTATTTTTTATTTTTACATTTATTTCCTGAATATAGTAAAAACAGGTGGTAAAAAAAACAAAAAACAAAAAAAAACTCATTAAACGAGTTATTGTGTTCCTCTTGCAAGCTATCCTGGAGTCTCAGGATAGTTTTAAATTAGTTTTCTGACAAAAGACAAGGTAGTTACCCTCTCAAAGAGTGCACTGATGATATAATATTCTGCCAAAGAGTTCCAAAGCATCCCGACTTGATCAGTGTAACGCTGCAGGCCATGGCGAATGATGGCCTCTGCATTTTTCAGACTTGTTTCCTGAAAATAATCATAAAGAGTACTGCTACTATAAAAACAATACTAATAGCTGTCATAATATTTTTTATTATAATGAAGATGGTAAAAACAACAAACAATAACAATTATTAAATCAAAGCAATTGATAATAAACAAATTTATCAGGAACAATAATCTCAACAGGTATTACCATAAATTTGTGAACAGACTGACATTATAAACAGTAAAAACAAAATCTATTACACACCTGTGGGTTTTTGGAGATTAACTCACAGAGTTCCGACCATAACTGATGCTTTGATTTGCCATACTTGGAGGTAAAGGAATCAGTATTAACACACCACTCATATCTCTTGGCAGCTTCCTCCAGTCGTCCAATGGACATAAGATAGCTTATGTAATCCTCTGTATCTTCAGGGCAAAGCTGAAAGATAAAAAATATTGAGTGCTAACTACAATTTCCCTAATTATAAAAAGATATATTTCTACATCTGATAATGAGGAGAATAATAATATGAAAAAAAATATATATGCACATATACAAACGTAAAGTAAATACAGAAAGTATAAAAATTACAAAGTCTCATTTTATGTAAAGAACAGTAGCAAAAATTAAAATACAAAATAAGTCTAGGTAAATCATGACGTGCAAATGATTACTTGATATTTTCATTTCAGTAAAATAATCCAGTTCGCAAGAACAGATACAAAGACTACATTCGCACTTATAATATGATACTAAATTACTTTTCTAGTTGCAACTTGTATCACATGAGTATTAGGTATAACACCAGAAAAAGAAAAATTGCAAAAACAATGTTGTGGTGTGAAGATCGACAAATCTATTTTACTAACCTTTAGATATCTTCTCCAGACTCTTACAGCTGTCTCTGGAATATTGTATAGCATAACGAATTTGAGGTAAAGTGGCCATATGCGGTTGTGCTGAGTAATGGGTAGGGCGCATAATGCACGGTCAAATGTCTGAAAACAGATACTCATGTTAGATAATTTCTTATATAAATATAACCATAATCTTGTAATTTAACACAGTAATATACATAACAAATTATGGCATCCTGGGTTTTTAAACTATTTCTTTCATAGGGTGGTCCAAGTCTACTGCAGAATAACTTACCTTTCTGGTTCTTGTTATCTTTCGCTGGTTCATCAAAAATCTGCAGTAGTCTATCCATATGCGAGGCATTTTGTGCATGAATACTAAGGCTCTTTCAAAGGTATTATTTACACTCTCAAACTCTGGATCTGTGACACATCGTCCCTTAACTTGTTCCATACGCAATCTAAGGGAAAGGCATATTAGATAGTGCATTATCCTCAAAAGAAATCAAAATGCTGAGAGATATGATATGATATGAAAATATGAAAAAAACATTTAATTATGATATGAAAAAAACATTTAATTATGATATGAAAAAAACATTTAATTAAAATCTATGTAGAACCAGTGTATAATTTGTTTAATCTATCTCATTCTTTTGTTTTTTTCAAACAATATAACTGAATTTCAGAAATATACATTTGAACATATTTTTATCAAAATTATATTTAAAAACAAACAAACAAACCTCAAATAAAGGTGCCATAGCTTATAGCTGCCTGGCATCTGGAGAAGTGCCCTTTCATATATGATGTTAAGTTTTTCTGGTGCA